CCCCCCCCCCTTCTTTCCCACCCTTCGGCTTTGGCGGGGTCACATGGGGCGGCGGGAAACCTCGGCTTTGCTTTGACCTCGCTCCCGCCGAAAGGTAAGAGCAGCAGGAGAGCGCGACCGACCGACCTCTTTTGCCGTTTCTTTGAAACGAGTATTTCCCTTTTCCTTACATCTTTTACCTGGTTTTCCCTCACATAATTCTTTTTTCTTTCTAATTTTCTTCGCTTTCTGGGGGGCGGGGGAGGGTCCCGTGCCTTCCGGAGCATTTTCAATCGCCGCTCGCTTCGCGTCTCGTAAAAGTATTCACAACCAACTGCACTGGATGCTCACCTCTCTCCCCACTCTTTTGCCGTGCCCAGTGCGAAAGTGCTTCAGGATGCTGAATGCCGAGTAGCAGTTGCGACCTGCTGATTCTCGTAACTGGTGCAGCGGACTCACTCTCGCTCGCTCTCCTTCTCTCGTACAATATTGAGTAAAACAATAAAGATATATATTGTTAGTTGTTTTCTAGGTCAGTGTTGGTAGTGTGAAAGCACCCGGAAGACCTTTTAGTCCAGAGAACCAAATGCGAAACCGATGAAAATTTGTGGGGCTGTGGAAACCAAATTTTATCCGTGACGATGAAATGCTATACCTCAACTCAATTTTCACAGTGCAAATAAGTGCACACTGGTAAAAGTGCCGTTACAGTTTCCTATGATTATGTCAATTTGCACTGTTTGGAAGCTATCAAGTCCTGCTGTTGCTTTTTGTTTTCCTAATTTCCTACGGCTCGACTGTCACTCTCACCACTTGTCCCCGTGGAGTCAGTCTCACCTCGCAGCACTCGCACTAAGCCCCCTCTCCCCCCTCCCACGCGCACACACACAAACACGCCCAATATAACGCAGGGACAAATAAAGGACCTCGAACAACTCCCTCCCTGTGTCCCTATACCCCCCCCCCCCCCTCATTCCCCCAAATGCTCTAACTGCTCGCTGGCAACAATCCGCTATATACCGCCAGGGCCGCCAGCCTCAGCCCCATAGGGCCCATAGCCAGCCGCTCTCCTGCTTTTGCCTTTCGAACGTCGCGTCCTTCTACCTCCCCCCCCTCTCTCTCTCTCTCCATCACAGACACACACAACACACACTCACACTGTCTCTCTTGTTCATACACCCCCCCCCTCTCTCTCCCTCTCCCTCCCCCGCGACACGCAGCAGCTGCGGGCTGAGCGCCGCTCCGCTCCGCTCTCGCGCTCGCATTAGTTGAATGTATGAGCCGAGCATCTGACGGCGTGAGCCGCGTGGCGTGAGCTCTGTCAGGGGGTGGGGGGTGGAGGGTGGGGGGCGTAGCGCTGGGATAGCGGTGCTGAGGGAGTGGATGGGGTTACCCAGGGCGAGGACAGCGCGGGCTGTTTGCATGTGACGGGCTAATTTCGAATGTTTTGCCCCGCGCTTGTGTGTTCTAGTTGGTGTCGTGGTGGTGGTGGTAGTGCGGCTGCCGCGAGAGAGAGAGAGAGGGGGGGGGGAGAGAGAGAGAGAGAGAGAGAGAGAGAGAGAGAGAGAGAGAGATGCGAGGGACGGATAAAGGATGCATGCGTGTTTTCTCTCTCTTCCCCCTCCCCTCCCCTCTCTCTCTCTCCTCTCTCTCTCGTTTCGCGTTTTCAGTGCAGCATCGAGTGCGCTGCTGCTGTGCTGGTGCTGGGAAATTAGGGCAGCAAGAAAGCAATCATCGGAGACAGGGGCGGAGCGCCAGTCAAATTAGCCCGGGTGATCGGACCGACTGTCAACCGGGATTGGCGAGGGGGGCAGCTGCCAATAGCTATAGTGGTGCGCATCCACCGCCGGGATCCAGCGACATCCTTTATTCCGCACTCTACTACATTGATTTCGCCTTCTTTTCAAGGGGTTGATTTTGCGTGTTTAATTTTTTTCTTGTTTCTATGACATTTAAAAAAATATTGAGGGGATCATAAGGATTCCGAGGCGAACTGCACTGTTAAAGATAGATAGTTGTTAAAAAAAACAAGCAGTTTTGAGATTGTACAAGCTGTGAGTAAACAAAAAATGTTGTTGTCATTTGAACCCTCTCAAAACCCAAAACCCGTGCTATTTGGCCTAATACTACGACCCACAACAGGAATTACTTGGTATCATTTTGTTGTGCATGTTCAAGAAAAATTGTCGTTGGTTTTGTTAGCGACACATCATTTCGTTTGAAAACAAACACAGAAAGTCCGGTGCCAGTTACAATAATTGTCCTCAGACGTTTAGAGTGTAGTCACCGTCGTGTCGTTCGGCGCGCTGTCGGTGTTCGATTTCAGCGGCGGCGTGCGGAAGTAAAACCCAGAGTACAACCAACCCATTACGGTCTGTGTTTAAGCGGCGCAATGTGGATTACAGGCTCCAAAGA